AATAAGTATAGGGGTAAAGAGTTGCCACTCGTCAAAATTTATGCCAATCAATTTGAAACGCCATCTGAAAATTGAATCCAAGTATATTTTTTTTTTTTACTAGTGTCTACAGATAATCCTAAGTATAGCTAATGCCAATACTACCAACAATGCACCTTGCAGGTTGGTACATTGAAGGTAGTATTGGAATTAGCTATGTCTGGTAGCTGCAAAATCAAAGAAGTTATTAATTACAATATTACATTTATTACAGTAAATACAAATTAACATTTAAAAATTATCAGCTAGTAGGGAAATATCAGACGACAGATTTGTTCAAAGTATAATTCAAATTTTAGTTCTTTTTAATTTTATGTTTACAAATTTCAGATATAAATATGTCGTTCAAAATTTATTTGAATTAGTAATTTTTTTAATTATTGATCCCACAAAGAACTAAAATTAAAAATATTTACTGTTCACCGTTGTTTACACAGTACCTATCAGTAGTTAACAATCTAATGATATAAATTAACCGTAATACCTACACAAATGTAGTACATTTTACCATCGATTTGAATCGCTTACAGTATTTACAAAAACACAAAATTATTATACAATTTACATAACATAACATACATAACATCACGCCTTTTTATCCCCGAAGGGGTAGGCAGAGATGCACATTTCGGCACTCAATGCCACTGTACAATGTAACACCCACTTTTCACTATTTATGTTATAAGTCCCATGTAATAGGGGGTGAGCCTATTGCCATATACCGGGCACATTTCCAGACTACTCTACTACTACTGAGATTTTTTTTAAACCCAGTAATACTTTGCCCGACCCGGGTATCGAACCCGAGACCCCTTGCCCGGCAGTCGCACTTATTATTATAATGTCGAAAAATATAGTGCTTAAAAATAAGTCTCAGTCTGCCTCTCAATCAGTCTCAGTTTTTTAGTACTTTTTTTTGCTAGTTGCTAATAATGCCTGACTTAGTCGTTTCCTATATCTAGTTATATTACAGTCATTTTTACTAAACAACTACAGATTTTTCCTATCCTCAAATATAATATTTTTATAACATTATAATGAAACAAAGTAATATTATTATTATAAATACAAATGAAAATGAAACAGGCAAAATAATGTGGGAAATCCCAATTCAGACAGACTTCACAGTTGCCCACAACAGACCGGACATAAAATACACAAACAAAACATCCAACACCACATACCTCTTTGACATAACTGTACCATGTAACTACAACATAGGAGCAAAAGAAATTCAGTAAATACCACAAAGACACAACTCAAGGCTAGACGCCTTGAAATATTGAAACACATGTTAATTCTATAGTAATTGGAGCCACAGGAGTAGGTACTAGCCAAAAGCCTCAGCAGATACACAGACAAACTAGAAACATAAATAGACATTAGCCACCATTCACACAATAATCATTCTTAGCAAAGTACTAGGAGACACAGTTTTTGTCACATACATTCCAGATTCCGATCAATTACAACCATCTCAAGCGCAAACACCACATACCACTCAGTCAACCATCACATGAAGCTCACAATCCACATCTGGCACACAAACTACACCCAGTTAGTAGTCAAGTAGTCAGCAGAAGAGAAAGAAGGAGATTTATAAGTCAAATTTAGAAGGGGCTATGAGCATCGTTTTACTGCGGGTTGCGGGAAGCGGTGCCCATTTTCACCAGGTCAAGCCCAAGAAGGAGAGACCTCTACATATATGAATACAAATAAGTAAAACCTAGAATAATGCTGCCAGTCTTTTGGGCACCCTACTCCACGATAGCGATGAAAAAGAATTTTTTGATGCCCTAAGGTAACATTTTTTTTAAGGTGTGAATACATAACATCACGCCTTTTATCCCCGAAGGGGTAGGCAGAGGTTCACATTATGCCGCTGTACAATGTAAAACCCATTTTTCACTATTTATGTTATGAGTCCCATGTAATAGGGGGTGAGCCTATTGCCATATACCGGGCACAATTCCAGACTCCGTGCTACTACTGAGAATTTTTTAAAACCCAGTAATACTTTGCCCGACCCGGGAATCGAACCCGAGACCTCTTGCCCGGCAGTCGCACTTGCGACCACTCGGCCAACGAGGCAGTCCTTCCACTTCCAGGTGTGAATATGTACCTATTTTAGTTTATTTATAATTTAATATTACTTTGTTGTGCGTAGGTACTTAAAATGTTGTTCTAATTATGATATATACATTAATACAAAGATAAAAATAGTTTTACAAAAATAATACGGCTTTAATATTTGCAGCGATCTATGGGTTTCTTGTTTCTTGAGACAACAATATACGTCTGAATGTTAGAATAATTCCCAATAGTACCTGAAAAAAAACAAAGATTATTTTTACATGCAGAAATATGTATTTTATTTATTTGTTTTCTTTTATTTATCTAAGGTAGGTGTACCTTATTATTACTGATGTTACAAAAATAATATAGTATTTACCATCTCTAAAATAGGTTTCAAGCACTGCTGGTATAGATCGGCACTTTATCCGGACATCGTAAGACTCGTAACTGCCGATAAAAAATTGCACTATTGATATTCTGCAATGATGATGCTGAAGTAATATCGATGCAATAGCAATTCCAAATATCACTGTAACAAATATACAAAAGAAAAAGTAGAAATTTATAAAAACTACATAGTTTGGTATCTCAATGAATCAAATAAAATGTATAATATAAATAGGTTCAATAGCAAAAATCATAAACTTGTTGTAGGTTTTACCTTCAGCAACATGATTGTATTCTTCGTATTGATGTTCTTTATTATAAATAAGATATATACGCAAATTAAAGCGTCCCTTTGTAAAATCAAGTCCAATGAATAGACAAACAAACACAATGTACTTTTGTGATTTGTGATACATATGTATACAAAAGGTCCTTTATAGAAAACACAACACGCATCGCAGAACTTCCTTTTTTAGAAAAACAATCACAAAATCCCATCACAAATTAAATAATTTAAAATATTTTTGGCAAAAATTTTTACAATTTTGACATTTCAAATTTTTGTTTTTGTTTCTTTTCTTTATCAAGCAAAAAGTATACATATTATATGCCAGTATTAAAATAGTACAAACTACATGCATACTATTTTATAGAAATAAGGAGATAATATAAAAAAGTATTTAATATCAATATCTAATTATTAACAATATTATTTTAATAGTTATTTATGATCTAAATAATTTGGAAAATTATTATTGTAATTTTTTAATAATTTTTTAGCCCCAGCGTTGCCGTAAAAAATAATAATTTGACAATCCATATAGTACAAGAGCCTATGAACCCCAGACCTTTGTTATTTATAACGGACTAGAAAAAAGGAAAAGTTATATACCTATAAGGTTTTTTTATGTTTCTTCAGGGATGACTTCGTCGTTTTTTAACGTATTTTGATGATTCTTTTTTAACCGACTTTAAAAAAGGAGTATCAGTTTGACCTAAATGTATATACATAATTATGTTACAGCCAATGTGATTAATTTGATATTATTCGTAATGACTAGTAATTAATGACTAGCTATTATGAATAATATCTTCGAAAACTTGGATAAAGTAAATCAGCAAATGGAAATGAACAGGGCTGACGTCTGCACAAAATTTTGAATTTATCGTCATGGGTGTCGTTTTCATGGTTTTCGAGGGTGATAAAGCCGATGGTCCTGTCAAATTGTAAATCCAAGATGGCGTGCGCACAAATTTTTTCAATTTATCGTCATGGGTGTCGTTTTCATGGTTTTCGAGGGTGATAAAACCGATGGTGTTGTCAAAATGTAAATCCAAGATGGCGTCTGCACAAAATTTTGAATATATCGTCATGGGTGTCGTTCTCATGGTTTTCGAGGGTGATAAAACCGAAGGTGTTGTCAAAATGTAAATCCAAGATGGCGTCTGCACAAAATTTTCAATTTATCATCATGGGTGTCGTTCTCATGGTTTTCGAGGGTGATAAAGCCGATGGTGCTGTCAAAATGCAAATCCAAGATGGCGTCTGCACAAAATTTTGAATGTATCGTCATGGGTGTCGTCTTCATGGTTTTCGAAGGTGGTAACAAAGATGGTGCTGTCAAAATGCAAATCCAAGATGGCGGCTGCACGATATTTTCAATTTATCGTTATAGGTGTCGTTTTCATGGTTCTCGAGGGTGGTGAAAATGATGGTGCTGTCAAATTGTAAACCAGAGATGATGACTGAACGAAATAGAGTTAGTGCATTTATCGAGAAAGATTGAGTATGTGTGTGAATGTGTGTGTGTGTGATAGAGAGACAGAAAGAATGCGTGCAACCTATTTTATAGATTTTCTATGAAAATTGAGTATTTTCATATAATATTAGTTTTTATATAATAAAAACGGTGGCCTAGACCTGAGGTTCACAGGCTCTTAGGTTAATGCTTTTGGATGCAGAAACCTGACGCAGTCACTTCATAGAGTTTAGTTTGTCATCCATCACTTAAAATCCTTTTAATTTCTATTATGAGTAAAGAGGCTGTAATCTTTGATCGATTATGCCAGCATAACTGTCATTTGATCTAAGTTTAAGGAATTATTTTGTAAAAATTGCAATATAGTATTAAATAAATGTGTATAATGTTCTTTTACTATTTCCAAAAAATATTATTTTAAGCCTAAATTTTAAAATAATGTTGCAAGCTTGCTTGGAACTGTGTGGCCACTGAAAATATTAGTTTTGACAACATTTAATTTCAGGTTCGAAAACTAGATGTAGTTGACGGTCCGATTTTTTAAGCTGTCAATGGCTCTAAGTGTGACGGCCCTGGATGGCTGCCTTGTCGCAGTTGCTTTTCTCTGCCAAACAATACTGAGAAAATTGAGATAACCAACTATTTTTACATTTTTTATAAAGAAAATTAGGTAGATCTTAATAAATAACGTTATATTAACGTGCTAGTCATTTTGATAATGTGATATTAAGTGTACCCATGGCTTCCAATGTGCAAGACTCGCCTGTTCAGCAGACATTTGTGGAGGAGATAGATTACAATGAAATTCAGGAGTTATCGGTAAATATTGGGACGTAATTTAGTCTTTTATAAGCTGTAGAATGTTAATTAGGACTATAAGTGTTCAATTTGTGTCGCCAGGTGGTGGGCAAGGGAGCGTTTGGCGTAGTATGGAAAGGTTTGTGGAGAAACACACTAGTAGCAGTAAAACACATTAATTCTGAGGCTGAGAAGCGGGAATTTTCAATAGAAGTGCGGCAATTGTCTCGTGTGTCACACCCGAACATCGTGCGGTTGTATGGAGCGTGCACGAAGGGCGCCCACGTCTGTCTAGTCATGGAGTACGCAGAGGGAGGCTCCTTATACAATGTGCTGCACAACCGCCCCAAACCTAAATACACCGCAGCTCATGCAATGAGTTGGGCTCGACAATGCGCCGAGGTTAAAATTTTGTTATAATCTTAGCTCTCTATCACTCAATATCTGAATTCTTGTATCAATTGTGTAAAATGTTTGCTTATTTCATCAAAACATTATCTCCTGTCAATGTACTAATAGTTTATGAGTTATTGTTCATGATTTAATCAACTTGTTGAGTGTAAATATATTAAAATAATATTGTATTGTAATATTCCAGGGTGTAGCATACCTCCATGCAATGAAACCCAAGCCATTGATACACAGAGATTTAAAACCACCCAACTTGTTGCTGGTGGGAGGAGGGCAGAGGCTAAAGATCTGTGACTTTGGAACAGCTGCAGATAAAGCTACTTACATGACAAATAACAAAGGCAGTGCTGCGTGGATGGCACCTGAGGTTGGTTATTGCTTCTAGTACACTTGATTAGCTTAAACAATAATCATTAAGATTAGGTTTCAGGAGATTTTTATAAAAACATTAATCTTTGAAAGTTATATGAATGAGTTTAAGATTATTGATATTGAGATTCTTACCAAAGGAATGTAAATATATATGGCAATGATCATAATCAGCATTTACAATTAAGTGAAATCTATAAAAACAAACATCATTAGTAAAGATTGAATTTGAATAATTAATATTTAAAGTGCATAGATAAGAATAATAATTCATCACCTATATTCTCTAGAGTTTAATGCCTGACAACAGACGTCACAGATAACAAATTCTTTGCAATATTATTAATCTATAATCCTGTCTTCAATAGACGTTATTGATAAGTAACTGTTGAATATTTAAGTAGGCATAATATTTATTGTGTAGTCGCTGCATGGAACTGGCAATAAAGTCATAATTATTGAAACTTCAAGAAAGCAAACAATACTGTAAAAATAATCATGGAATTGTTATCAACAATGTCTATAATTAAGTCAATAATTAACAAATTTATTTTTTTAAATTGATAAACAATGATATTTGGTATCGTAGTTTGTTTAAGCATTGAATATTTCAATTGCATCAATGTTTTGACACAGTTTCAAACTCATTTGTTTAGTTACCATACATTTATTCTGCTGACGGAGACTCCCTAGGACCCATCGCTAGAAGTACCATTGGCTGCATACTCTTTTGGTAGTACTGATAGTCTACTATTTAATCTATTCATTGCTGTAGAATCAACTGCACAATGTATGTCCTTTTAATTCGAGAATCACAGAATTTTTTTCAATGTAAACAAAGCATAATTTTAGCAATCTTTGGTCTCTGGGATGGAAAGGAAAACTTAGACCTATAAATAAGTAAATAAATAATAATTATTATGCCTTATTAATGTTGATGCCTAAATAAAAGTAACTAACTGACTTATATTTGACTGTACAAATAAATAAATACTTATATTAATTTTTATTATGATAACTGGATAAGCTGAACTATGCATAGAAAGTACTTTTTGGTGTGCTGGGATTAAGATAGCTGAAATTAAGACAAATTAGTGCAGAAATAATAATTTCTTATAGCTGAAGATGATTTTGTGAACAAGATCAAGTAAATGATCCATTCCATCCATCCACAAGTTTGAAGTATACAGCAATCCTACCAGACATTAAGAAGCGCTTGCTGAATCTTATCATTTCTTTAAAACAGTCTACTATTTGGAAAGAATGATAAAGTTCCTGCACAAACTTTAGATTATATTTCACATATAAACAAGGAAACAATAAATATATTGATAATGTCATTGATAAGTGGATTTATTATGTGAATGGTGAATGTAATGATTATAAATAGATATAGTTGAATGGCGCCAAAAATAGCTAGATGTAGTTTGTGGTACTGCTATTGTAATTGTTAGAGCCTTGTCTAATCCTGGTGTGGCAAGGATATTACGTAACTTATCCCAAACTAGCCAATAGCCAAAATTTATTTTCCCATGCAGAGGGATCTTCAGCTGACTGAATATATTCAAATACCCTTGCTTGATCTGAAATGTTATTTATTACTTCATACATACATACGTAACTTATAATAGAATGGGAGACAGGCATGCTATCTTCCATAGAGGTAGCCAGAGATTATGGAACACCAATTGCTACAATCCTTCATACATCTTTCGCTTTATCAATAGTCATCAATCTTTTCATGCATGCTCATTGATTAAGGGTATTTTTTTTGCCTTTCTTTAATGTATCGCTAATCTGCTCAGTATATGTCCAGTTATTACATCATGCTCAGAAACAGAGAAACTCTTAAACAGAGAAAGGTTACTTACTAAGATTGTCCTTGTGACACAGTACGACAACCATCAGTAAGAACGAACAACATTCCAACATTTCCGTCCATTGTTCAGTACACATTTATGAGTACATAGCAATAAAAACACTATCAATATCTTATCAGAGTAAAATCTATTTATTCTGCTCTTTCTTATTGATAATTTTATTCTTAGTAGAGATAGTAAATTATGTATCATTTTCCTTATATGAATGTTTCTTTTATTACAGGTGTTTGAAGGATCAACATATACTGAGAAATGTGATGTGTTCTCATGGGGTATTATACTATGGGAGGTACTGTCGCGGAGGAAACCTTTCGAGGAAGGAGGGTCAGCTTTTAGGATAATGTGGGCTGTGCATACAGGTACCTTTTTATTCTATTTTAGTAGTAGTACTGGTTATTGTTATTTTAATAGTGGAAAATATCCGATGGCCAAGCATGGTGTAATTTTTTTATGTTTACATAATGCCTTATTAATATTAAGTATTTTTAATTTAAGATACTTACTTATATACTTTTTTAACTGTTGTTAAATTCTTACTTTTTTAAATTAAATAACTACTGATAGAGTAACAAAAGATGTAAATCAACAGACATTGTAATAATGAACTACTAATTAAAGGATTAAAAACACAAGCAAATTCAACAGTAAATGTTAAATATATTATCAAAGCAGACATAGCAACATAATTTTTATCCAGAAATGAAATTAATGTTTCACCGGTTAAAACCTTATAGCTTATAATCTAATGCCATATTTTATGGCCCTCAATAAAAGATAGGTAGCCAGTCAACCTTTATTGTACTTGTTTACTCATCAAAGCTAAACAATAAAACTACCTATTAAAGGTTTAGTTCCAGTGAATCATGATATCATTACAATGTGATTCAGTCAGCCTTCCGCCTACCATCTATTATTTTTAACCATAAATACTGCACCTATCCTTCTAACATCATTTGAATTAAATACTCCTTTGAGATCTGACATTATGTCATTTAAATTAAGAACAAAAAAAAAACTTTTTTTTCAAATTCTTTTTCAATTTTATTTAATTGAGGTGTGATTTCAGAAAAACAATTTATTTTCAACTTTTATTATAATACAAGTTATTTAAAAATTCTAGGTCAAAGGCCAAACTTGATAGAGGGTTGTCCTGAGCCAATAGAGCAGTTAATGACACAATGTTGGCACAAAGTTCCTGCGGAGCGACCCAGCATGGCTAAAGTAAGCATAAGACAATGCAATTGTAACTTTAGTATTGTAATTAAGCAACACAATCGCTATTGTATTAAATAGTACCTGTTACGTGGGTACTGAAAGTATTTTTAGCCTATCGACTGTTATATCAATTATAAAATAATGTGCCCTCTGCACTAAACTCTAAATTCATCCAAATACGTGGTTTTTTTTCTTCGTGACATATCCAAAGTGAGTCGATTTTACATAATTAGTTTTGTTTTACGACATTCATTAATTAATAGCAATAAATGCAAACGCAATTAGATCCGTAACTTTCGAAATACATTTCGTTTATCATTCATTCAAAACTAACAGTCGAGAGATACAAAATTTAAATATTCGTATTATGAATGATACAATTCTATCTAAACATTTGAACGTCGCGAGGACAGTGTCGCGTGATGTAGCTAGTGCAAATATAAATGATGAGTGGGCCTATCTGTTGCCAATAGTAAAGGTTATGCTATTATAAAGCGATTACTCACTGTAGTCTACAGGCCACCTGTGCAACTAGAAACAATACAAATAGACAATAGCAAATTATTCATTGAAATAGCCACCTGCCACGAGGCTGTTTAGCTGTTATTTATTTCATTTTGTCATAGGTACTGTGTTTTAGATTTTTGAACAATTTTTGCAATTCAATAAATTCCAAGAAACTGATTTTACACTGGCGTGTCTATGATAGCTATCCATTTATATACTTCTCACTTACTTGAATCTTAAATGAATGAGTGTATAAACCTTACATTAATATCTAATTTTTATGTATTAATGTTTCAGGTGGTAGACATAATGGCAGCGCTGTGCGAGTTCTTCCCCGGCGCGGACACGCCCATCAACTACGACGACTGCGAGGACGAGGACGAGGAGTGTTCGGAGGACGAGTACATGCAATACGACACTCAGGACAGCCTCGACACTGACACTGACCAGGGCATACTGTCACAAGTACACATCCCGACACAGTACCCCGACACCACCGCCTCCAACCCCGTACTGCTCCGAAACATCGACCATACCATCCAGCCGCCCCGGCCTCGCAGCTTCGTCGAAACTCAAGTGAGTAAGCTACAGAACTTAATGGCCGCCGAGGCGCATCCCAAAACCTCGGCCTTACCTAAAGATGAACCGGATGTACATAACAGAATAGGACCGGTTCGGATCCCACAGCAGTTTAAAAAGCCCGAAGCGTATACGGAAGCGGGACGGTCGGCCGTGACCATCAACAGGACGTCGAGCTCGCCCGGGCCCGAGCGCGGCGCCGCCAGCGAGGCCAGCACGCCGCAGGAGTCGCTGCTGGCGCGCAGCCCCGCCGTGTTCAGCGACACGTCCTCGCCGCGCCGTCTGTCGCCCATCGCCAACTACAACGTGGGCAACATGAACCCGCGCCACATCGACATGGACCACTACTGGAGCCGCGAGAACGACAAGCTATCCACGCGCAGCCCGTCCGTCACCAGCAACTCCAACTCCGTGAGGAAGGAGGACTACAACCAGAATTACTGTGACAGGCTGAGCGCCGCCAACAGTCCCATGACGCCCGTCAAAGAGTACAACGGGAATCTGTCTCAGAGACCGATCGATCCGAGATATCAAACGCCATTACAGATCGAAGTGGATCCAGTAAGTCTTACACACCGTATGTTGTTATTACCTTGTCCTATCCCTTGAAGACGAGAAATTATGTAGTGGAAGATAGCAAAATTGGTGAAGGACCAACTAACACAATATATTGTATTATATGTATATATGAATTTACGGTTTTATTTATATTATTTCTATTTTCGGTGGTTTGTAACTTTTTTATTGTAATCATATTGTTTAATTTTTCAGAATTCGTGGGAGTTGCTCGACGTGCCGATCAGTTATGATGATTATGTGGAAGTGAGAAATTCTGCTGGCTTTGATAAATACTATACAGTGGGTGAGTCACGCATGTCAGGTTTTCGATGTTGTTTTTAAAAACCATTGTTATTTATGTACTTCAAAATGTGTTGATTCTCTTTGTGTTATTTGGTATTATTGTGTCTGAACGTGATTGTGTTAAATACCAAAAACGTTTATATGCGCTAACATAAATTCACCAATCGAGATAGGATATTAAAATTGACAGACCTGTGAATACGTTTAGCATAAATCGTGCGTGAACTTGAACTTTTTCTCGCCTACCCACGCAGTCATGGAATTTAGTGCGCATTTCGCCATTCGTATTTTGGTTGCAAACAATTTGAATCGAAACTTTTTACTTCTTTCGTATTGTGTACTTCATTAGTTTCTACCTGAAGCTAGTAAGTAGGACTATAAAAATATGTTTTTTTTTTTATCTTAGAAACGCGTAACGTTTCAATATATATATTAATCAGCGTGTTATTGTATCACGAAATATTACCGCAAACACCAAATTCCTTACGTTAAAAATGGCCTAATGTTGAAGAGAGATTATAATCGTTTTGCAACTAATATTTCACAGTACGGTATAAGAATAGTAGCGCACTTTAGATGATTCACAGATACGTCTACTGACCACGTGTGCCCGCCTGACGTACAGGCACGTGAGACTCGTTTAAAATGGCTCTTAACTCTATATAAATACGCACCAACACTAAAAATGCTCATAAATCTCCCTATTTTTATTGCTATTGTTTTAATGTGGAATTAAGGTGTTAAAGATTGAGTCATCTAACGATTTGAAGCGAAAATAAACTATAGACGGTCGCAGTCTGTGATGTATTGTCCCAGAAGAGCTTTTTGATGTAAAAAGAATTGGCACTAGATACACTTGTAGTGTAGACTCAGTCTGATTCAATACGTCATTATAAACTTTTTGTACGGCCAAATAAGTCTTGATCGCCTGTTTCGGAGTCTAAAAAAACATCACGAGATTATATCTTGTTGTTTGCAGTTGTCACTTCATTCAACCAAATATTTTTTATTGCCATAAATAAAAATACACAGGCAAATACATATTGGGTCGAAGTTAACAGTAATTTCTCATATTTGTAATGGTAATCTCTCTTATTTCGGGTTTGGTTTTTACTCTATTGTCCTAAATGTTTATTCGATTTTGTTTTGCTACTAATAAGTAATACTCTGCTTCTATTTGCACACTTTCTTCAAGGAAGCTCTCCATACGTTCAAGGGTTTTTAGTTTATCTCTAACACAAAGTAAAAGTGACAGAAGGCTTTGTTTTATGGTATGTATAGATTAATAGAATTTATTAGTGTCCTTATATTGACTATTAAACTGTCAAACACCAAGCAGTCACCGGTGACCGCAACCTATTGTTCTTTAATTGTGTCTATAATGACGGTACTCAACGAGTTAAACTAAGTCTATCTGGAGATAAGTAGAAACAGGCCATAAAACGTTGTATTTAATGCAATAGTTCGTTATAATATAGTACAAAACAAGAGCCAGTCGTAACTCAGATCGGAGATTGTCGTCTAAAGTTGTGCGAGTGCATCAGTGCGTGAGTAACCGCGTACAAATAGCCGATCCTGGCAGGACACGCCGTGACTCAGCACGCTAACGTTTGTGTTACGTACGCAGTTTAGGATGCATCGCTGTGGACGCTTTGTTTTTGTTATTGTTTGTTTACTAACATTTCTAACTGTATGTTTGCAGTACTCTATTTGTTATTAATACTTTTTTGTGATCCAGCGGTTGTTTGGTTGTCTCCTATTCGTCGAGTAAGCCAAGTACTAATAGCTTAGGCTTGCTTTTTTTTTCAACACTAGAAATTTAAGTCAGTTTTTTAAAACTCGATTTAATTTTTAGCTTCTTTATGAATAAATTCTGTCAGAACTCAGATTTCTCGATTTGTAAAATAAATCCCTTGATTCTGCAACTCACAAGTTTCACAAGAATGCATTACTGATATAGAAATCCAAAAAGGATGTTTGCGTACAACTAAACATCCTTTTCAATCAGTGTCAAGAACTTGATACATTTATACCGAAAATCATCTTCAAAAATATTCTTTAATTACCAAAGTCTCTTGTGAATACATACATACATAACTTCACGCTTCTCTCCCATGGGGGTAAGCAGAGACTATGGAACACCAGTTCCTACGATTCCTATACATATACATATTTCATCGTAAAATGTTTTAAAAATAAGACTACAAAGACGCGTGTCGCATATGGTTTCGTATCTTCTGAACTACAATGGGTTAAGAAGCAACAAAACAGCAGTAGGCATATCTGTCATTCTGTCATGCAACGCATCAACGGACATTCACACAAATAAAATAGAGTTCACTGAAGCTGTAGGAGGATGTGTTAGAGTATCATTTACAGTCTGGCTAACAACAAGATCCCTAATGTTAATTATAATGCATAGTGTTAGCAGTTCTCAGAAGCGGGTGGTACAGGCGCGCCGCCATTTGACAGCAAATACCGCGCACTCAAATATCAAGCGCTTAGTCATACGAACAGACATGTTATACTAGTTTTATTATTACATAACTTATTTTTGCACTTTGCTCGAAATAAGTGCGGTACAGTATTAAAAGATACTACTGCGTCTAATCCAGGCGTTTAAACAAAGTGAATCACCCTGTACATTATGAGTGGATGTGTTTATATGAGGATGATGGAGCCAATCTTGTTTGATATTATTATTTTTATTGCTTGCTACAAATCTGTTTATAGTTACGCTTCTTTGACTTAATTCTTGGTTCTTCTTGTGTTTAAAGAAACTGTCAATGGAGAAGAAATATTAGCACAAACATTGCCAGAATTATCGTCTAACCTATTTGCTAACCACTAACGCCTTGATGAATGGAGAAGCGTTCGTTCTACCAGAATACATATAATAATTTTACATTTCTTGATAATAAATGAGAGGTCGCCGCTGTAGTTCCGGCATTACTATTATTATTAGAATTTTTCGTACACGCCGAGTTCTAGATTAGATTTTGGATGAGATCATGTGTGTATTTATCTAGCCAGTAACATAATAGAAGTGTGTTTTTTTTAAACTTGCAACAGACACATTGGGGTCAAATTAGAATGGTGTTAACGTTGAAGTGTCTAGTAATAGCGGGGTTTACTAGTTCGCAATAAAAGCATTGCGTGTATGTCGTAAAGCTGCACGTACCACGAGGTGCGTAGGCGCATGGTGCGTGGAGTGCGGGGCCGGCTGCGGCGCGCGGTGGCGCCATGCGTTAATGAGCAATTCTTCACACTCGTACTTTATGAATTAATCGCACTACTCGTAAAGACGGGGAGGTTTGCATTAATCTTTAAATAACGACTAAATTAATATGGACGAAATTTTAAATACAGATAGTCCATGACCTCGAATGTGCTTTCATGAGGTTTTATTCCGTTAATGCGAAAAAATAACGACACCGCTGCAGGATCGTATACTTAGAATATTGCGTATCAAATGAAACAATGATTCCCAAATAATTTAGGAACTAAATATAATAGCTGACCCGATTTCTTAAAACAAAAATAAATTACAAATCATAGTTCCTGGGAGCTAAACAATGCAAAACAGTAGCCCCACTTATACAATAAATCTCTTGTGTTGATTATAAAGTTCGCAGAACGCTAATCCGCCACCAATGGAGTTTATTGAGAATTCCATGACTAAGTCGAGTCGTTTCTAACTCAGCAACAAAATAAATCTCGGCTAAAGGAGAAATATCTCTGGACGTCGCATAAAAACAAGATGGGCAACTTCTTTGAAACTGTTCGAACTATAAAACTGCTAGTTTTCCTTGTACAAAAACAAAATAATGCGCGATTTAAATTATCTGGATTTCCAAGATTCCGATAGGGCACTAAAAGTCGCATGAGCGAAATGGATCGTTTCAATTCAGCCTCTGTTGCTATTAGGCTTAAAGCCTTATGTCATTTTCTTTTCCTCAAAAGCTTGTTTTGGTTCACCTTGGCTTAAGTGCGTTGCTATCTCGAACTCCAAACGCGAACATCGCATTCAATTTCCAGGAAGTTTACAAGGAAACTCTCCAACCCCATCTTTATATCGACCACAAAATATTAACGTGCGCATGCAGAAATGTCATAAAAACAGCAGCAGCCGTGACGTATGTATTGATTAGCTATACGCGTGTGTGTATGCGGTCCAGATGCGGCTCAGGACGGTCCCGACATGAGTCACGCTTCTCGGAAGGGGCCGCGACTATTTTAGACTGTGTCCGCTTACCTTCTAGGAACCGGGTGGTGTGGGACCAACGACCGATCGCAAAGCCAAAGTATTGTTAGATCGGTAACGGGGTTGTTCCTGCCCACCGATGGTTCCTAGTTTTATTCTCGCTAAAGAACCGAATCCAGGAAGTCTACTTGTGCTGCAACTCTGTTGTCGTTTTTGGTTGAGCGGTTCTCGTTCGTGCGTAGTTCTAAATCATTACGTTTGGCATGCGTTTGATCGTGTTTGACTTGTTGATTAGTTTGTAAGGAAATTATATTTCTCGGTAGACATTACTGTTAGAGTGGTCCTTGTCTTTCTGTTCTGTTTCGGGTAATAGCTAAATCTTTATGGCATTTACTCGCTCAGATTAAGATTAAAGTGCTTGATATTTCCAGCTCGCCAATCTTTCTCATTAAAATCGCGTCTCTTTAAACTTTCCCAGACACATTCGTAACGGAAAAGCACCAAATGTAATGTAAATACCCAGTGCTGGTGATATTGTTGATCTTAGAATTTATTAGATGGTTGTCATTTGTCGCGCTGTATGGACAAGCATCCGCGCAGATGGCCAGACGGATCGCCTTTTGTTTATCTACCGCTTCCGCCGTCGCAACAAGCGGCGCGTTGAGCAAGTAAGTACATCGCGAATGTCACCCAACAATACACATTGCTACCATATTAAAACATAACGTTTATATTTATGTCTGACTATTGTTGTCCATCGCTATTAAACGTTAGCAAACAAGTATGTTTTTTTCACA